TTTCAGTTCACTCTTGTGAGTTTTGCATTATTTTGAGATCTCCATGTTTATACAATGCACATCAATAATAGATCTTTCTCTTAAAATAAGAATAACATACAAAGATGGCAAAATAAGTATATTTGAAACAGAGAGTAGAAGAATGTGCACTAAAAATTTAAGAAGCTCATTACAGTTTATTTTTGATGAAACAGAAACCTAGAAGGAAAAGACTATGATGATGTTCACATAAAATGTAGGTATTATAGATCTTATTTTATAGCAAATATCTACAATATCTATGCCACAACTTTTAATTTTCTAATTACAGAAATAAGTATAATTTAATTTAGTATATTTCGTTAGCATAATTTAACTGACAAAAATTAAATCACAGACTGTTGTATTTTCTTTTTATTTTGTATATACTATGGTTCAAATTAAAAAGTAAAAATTTAAATATAAGTTTATCCTTTCTCTGTTACATATACATTGTTGTGAATATTGAATTCACTTAGTGTGTAAGAAAAACTATTCCATGTTTTTAAAGAATCATGTTTCTTATCTTGGTGCATAATGCATGGAATGCCCAAAGAGTGATACAGTAGAGGAAACAACATGTAAAATTTACTGAAGAACTTCAGTAGTCCAGTTTTCACAGATATTAAGGTTTGTGGGTTATTTACTAGTTTAATTAATTTCTGATGCAGAACCTAAATATGTCCAAGAAATGTTACCTGAAACAGGGAAAGCATATTCTGTCTGAATCATTCCAAATGTTGTTTTAGAAGAATCACATGAACACTACTGTGAAGTTAAGAAGTAAAGTGTATTCAGAAACTGCTAAGGATTCAGGCTACTTAAACATGAGCTACAATTCATGTTTCCAAGTTGTTATCTACAACCGTAAATTGTGAAGTTACTAAAGAACTAGTTACAGTGAATTAATGAAGGCCAATTATCTGCAAGCAACCACTGTGTGAAGGGGCAAAAAGGAACTACCTGGTTTAAATGGACTCTACTCTGTGAGTCTGTCTGCCTCTAGCAGTGTATCAAAAATAATGAAATTAATGTTTTTCTCTCTCTTCTTTCTGCTAAAACTGTTCTATTGTTCTTCCCAACTGAAAAATACTCAATTCTAAGAATTGCTAATACTGACACAGTCCTGATTTCCTTTGTGATTATCGTTCATTTTATTTGACTTTTAGAGGGTTTTATTAAAATAAAAAATATTAAACAGCTTTGCTCTCTTTAATTGGTAGTCATTTATTAATCACAGATATATTGCCATTTCATGGAAGATGCTTTTGGAATCTTTCTCTTTTCTCACATAAACTTGACATTACTTATTAATGATTTTTTTTTTCACAAAGCTTCATTCAAACTGACCTCTTTTAATGAATATTCACATATCCTTTATAAGTGAATAAAACTTTGCTTTCACTTGATAGCAAGTACTTAATCCTCATTATTGAGACTATGCTGAAACCTTGAGTACTTGTCAAAGATTCATTGTATAATCCTGGGTTGGTTTGGCATTCAGTGATTTACACAGGGGCTCTGCTTACAATAATTGATTCATTCCATACTTAAAACCCACTGATCTCATTACAATTATGGGAAGGCATTTTAGCTGTTGCAATTTAGACTTACATCAAAGAAAAAAAGAAAGAGGCACCCTGTACCCCCTTTGGATTTCTGCAACATATGAAAGAATTAGGTCATATCATGTTTCAAAATAAAATCCCAGTACTGACCTTTCTAGACTCAAAAGTTTGCCCTGGAAGGAAAACAATGACATGTATTTCACTTGAGGAATACTTGTAGAGTTGAGAATGAAAATAATTTCAACGTTATTATCTTCATGTACCTATTTTTCCAGTAGCAAGCTCACTCTATCAAAATGACTGGAAATAGTTTTGAACTGTCTATTCTAACACTTAAGTCTGTGTCTCCCAAAAACCCACAATAGAAAAGGTGGCATTTTAAATGTCCTTGCTAAATATTATAGGCACATTGGCATCTATTCTAATTGAAAACAAATTTTAAATTAATATTTGAAAAACCAATAGATCATATTAATTAGAACAATGAATTTTGGAGGCTTTGGTAAAAATGTAGAGTTCCTTTTTATCCTACTATTTTGAATATGTAAGAAGACAGACTAATTGGTGAAGGAAGTGCTGCTTAATAAAGGCAAAATAAAGCAGCATTTTTCTTTCATAAATCATTTAAAGGTTATTAGGAGAAAAGGGGGAAGATTGTATGTTTCTTTTACTTTGGTTCATTTCATTGAGCTTTCATTACTGTTGCAAATAGAAAAAACAGTAATTATGGTTTATTAACATTACAATTTTATCTGTAGCAAAAGACTTTTTTTAAAGTGAAAAGGACAAGAATCATTTTCAAGCATTTATGAAGCACTTTATGAAATAAATACAATGAAAATTAGGTTGCATGTCCTGAAAAGTTTACTGCTTGTGAAACATACGCTTTCAGGTAATATGATCATTCCATAAATTGCACTTTTAGCTTTGGGAGGGCTTTTCTCTGATGTGGGAAAAAGAAACTGTGAGTTTTCTTACTAATTTGGAGTATTCTTGATTTGGCTGATGGGAGCTTGATCTCCCAATCCTAATATCTTCCAGCACAGAGTAATCTAATTCATTGACTTTTCCAAGCATTTTAAAAGTTTCTTTTCATCAGGGACGGTTTGACCTTCTTTATCCACACCACTCTAGAGGTGAGAAGTACAGTAAAAGTCACTGATATCTACTAGCTAGTAGCCCAGAAGCCCACCCTATACAACGATATCCCTAATAGCAAATTCTCTTTGTACAAAAATATTCAGATTTTTTAATAAACTGTTAAATACCTGACACCTTGATAACCAGAGACTAAGCTGTGCATCATGTCCTTTTAAAATGTTTTGATCTTAAAATTGTGAGACATAAAATAGCCTCTAAAATTTTGTTTGCAGCAAAATGTATTTTGTTAGATACTCAGAGAATTTACTTGTCACTCTTTTCTCATTGATGTGTTTAATTAAAATATTAAAAGCAAAGCCAAATCCTAATAAATGATCAGTTTCTGCAGAAAGGATCATTGTTTTTCCTCAGGTTGCTTCAAAACAATAGAAGAAAAAGTCTTTTTGAACCCTGTATTTGCTTGAACAAAAATGTGCAAAATTTACATCTGTGCTTTATTTTACTGAATAATCACTTAAAATCATTTGAACGGAAGGATAAAATGCATTCTAAATAATGCAATGGACAGTATCAGGGGCATTTATCAAAAATGCTTCAGTCATTAACCAAAACTTTTTGAAATGATGATGATTATTTCCAATATTGAATTAAACTTTTAATTCAAAACAATCAGGCTATAAATAATATATATATATAAATAATGCAACATAGAGAATTGACAGAAAGGAAAGGAGATTTTTGTGGTTCTTATTTAGAATATATTAGCATTTTAGGGAGATAGTAGACACATTATTGCAAGATTACCTATGGTTTTAGATACTAATGAATTTTCAGGATTTTGAATTTATATTCTTTTGATTTCACAAAGCTACATTACAACCAGCAGAGGGAAGGAATACATACATTGGATTTTCTTGGACCTCTATGAAAGAAATATTAATATAAATGATTGCTGCTACTTGCCTACTGTGACTTCAGTAAGGTGAAAGGAATAAATCTCCGTGTTTTAAGTTTTTCTAATAAAGAAAGTGAGAATTACCTAAAGATCAATGTTGAAGGGCAGTTTTAGTAAGAATAATTACAAAAATCTAACCTATTTTGGAACTAAATTCTTAAGAGTTGCCTATTCCAGTGAGATAAATTTTTTAAATCACCTAATTTCCTATTAACTAAGTCTCTTTTGTCTCATCTAGCATTTAGATTTTCTACACCCTGATATATATTTTACTGAAATTGTAAAACAGACATTGTCCATAAAGAAACATACAATGTACCAGTCAAGCAGACATTTCAAGATATACAATTATTTAAAATCTCCCTAGAAAAAAATTATAGAAGGAATTTCAAAATATTGACAGATTTGTAATTCCATAAGATTTTCATAGGCTTAAAAAGGTATCCACTGCACCTTTTTTATTTTCAATATTTTCTTGAAATAGAAGATAGCTATATATGAACTTTTCTTACTCTTGTAGAAAAAAATTTCACTTTTCCAGGAGAACTAGTATCCTAAAATCTCTGCCCCTTCACTTCTGTAATTGCAACCATTAATAAACATTTGGCTAGCAATGAGATCACCAAGCCACACCTAAAGCAAGTACCTGACAAATTCTGGATGGTGTCCTCCATCTGCACTACATTTCCTCTTTCCATTGGATTACACATTGCCTCCTCCTTGCTGGTGCTGCATCCAAGAATTGCCGTGGTTAGGATAGCAAACACTGGACTCAAGAAACATTTTCTGTAACTGGTGCATGTATATATAAACACACGGCTTTATTTTAGGTGGTTTTTTATGTCACTTTCCTGGCTTTTGCATTTGTTCCTGAGGGCGCTTCTTATCTCCCTTCCTCTCTCATTTAGCTGTTGATTTCTTCACACTCCGTTCCCTTAATAATGTTTATTAAAAACCCTGCGAACAACTACTCCCAATCACACTCTGTAGATGGATACATTAACTTTCAACTAAAAATTGTCTTGCTTGGGAGAACTGCCTGTTATTGGGTGTCTTGACATTTTCTTTGCACTGGGAATCAGAATCTTCTTACTTTGTCCCTTTTCACTCATCATGATGCCAAATAAAGACTGATTTTTTATGACTTCTAGTCCAAGTAATGAGTCCTGTTCTCATGCTTATTTCCTGAGCAGAACTTTAAAGAAAAATAATAGCCTGATAGTAACCCCTAAAGATGATTTAAAATTTTTTTCTCATTTGCATAGCAAGATTTAATTTCCATCCCTTAAATATGACGAATTGCGGAGATTTTCTCCAGTTAATGCTTTTAACAGCTCCCAATAAACTTCATTAATCAGGCAAGCTCGAGGCCCAATGTGTAGCCTGGAAGCAGCTAATTTGCTTGATGAGACCCCGACTTTAGTGAATAAACAGGTGGATAATCTGAGGGCTTTATGGCCTTAATTACAGTGTAATCAGTTCAGCGGTTGGCGGGCAAAAAAAGAAAGGAAAGCGGGCGGGGGGGGGGGGACGCCTCAAAGCCACTTTTCCTAAAATAGGAGAGACGTGCACCCTTCTTAGAGACACCTCAATTACTAGCTTCAATTTATCCTCCGTCGCTTTCCTCTTGCAGTTCTCTCGGCTCGCGGGTCCTGTTCCTTAACCCCTGTTTGCCTCCTGCTTCTCTCGCAGGCTCGGCCTTCTCGGCATCCACGCGCGCCGGGCTCTGGCGCCGCACCTCCGCGGGTGCCAGTCTCTCCCTTCCTCCCGCAGTTGGGGTCACTTTGCTCCCCCTCGGCTCGGCTTCTCGCGCTTGCCTCCGCCTTTTCCGCCCCCACCCCCCGGCCCCCGGCACCCCGCCCCTCGCCGCACATCCTCCCTGTCACCCGTGGGCCGCCTGACGAATCCCTTCAAGGGCAGCCGAACTTTGAAGGACAAGACAAAGCTTCAGCATATGGTCCAATCCCCAGATGTTTGTCTTTTCTTCCTTCTCCACCCCCACCTCCCCCTTCTCGGGGTTCGTTAGGGAACCCGACCGGTGCCGCCTCCCTGCGCTCACCGCCGGCTCCCGCGCCCCCACCTCCAAGTTCAGCGCCCGGTGCCAAGTGGCTTAATTCCCCTTGACGTCTTTTGTCTTGCCGGCTCCCTAGCTAGCAGATGAGTGGGAGGAAGGCGAGGATTCTTTGGACCTAATGATTTATGTTGAACTCTGCAATTAAAGTCGTCTCCTAGTCAGGACGTGGGGTGCGGAGGAGGGACCCCAAGGGGCTGTCGAAGGCGACGGGACAGCAGAGCTCCCCCCCCCGGCCAGGCGCAGTACCAAGGCGCTTTAGCCTTGCGGAGCCCCACGGGGATGCGGGCCCGGGGACCACTGGTGTCCCGGAGCAGCCCAGAGCAGGAAGTCTCCGAAAGAAGGCAGGGATTTGGGGGTGAGCAACCGAAAGGACCCCCCACTCCGCCACCCCGGGGTGCGCTGGCACCGCCAGGCCCCAGTTGCGGAAAAAGTGAGCCTCCAGCCCCGCCGACCGAGTCCTGCTGTGACGCCGGGCTGGGGAAGGGGGTTGGGGAGGAGACACTCAGTTTGGTCTGATGCGGGAGACACCTTCAGCTTGGGCGTGTGGAGGCTTAGGCGCTCTGGGCAGCTGGGGAGAAGTCTTGCCTCCAGCGTGCAGCGATGGGGAAGCAGGCTCGGTCCCAGCCTCTGTCCACAACTTGTGTCTCTAGATGGAGAGGGTGTGCTAGTACCAGCCTGGCTCACTCGGGAGCGCCCCCAAAGCAGCTAGGTGATCAGCCCTCAAATCTCCTCCGACTTCCCACCCATTTCCTGGGCTTGGCTTATGACTGGTAGCACCGGGTCTAGAGACACCCGCGCATGTGGCTACACAATTTCTGGGGCACAGGGATTGTCAGGCAGTTTACTTTATTCCTATCCTTCAGTCTCAACTCTCGTTAAGCTGTGATCAATTCGTTAGCAAAGAAAGTCAGTCCCCCCTCTCTGCCCCCCCCCGCCCCCACCCTTTCGGAACCAACTGCCTCTATTGCCCCTATTTATTGAGAGCTGCTCCACTTTTTGGCAACGGGTCAACAAAGGCTTGAAAGAGGCGAAAAACATTCTCCAGACTGGAAACAATAAAACAGGACATGTATGTTTGCTTGTATATTAATTACCCTGTGAAATTCCATTGTGCCACAAAGAGCCGGCATCAGAAGACTGAAGTTGCTTTATTTCTCAGTAATTTTATTTGACCACATTCAGGGAAGGTGAGAGATAATGATACTGAGTAGGGAAGATAAAAGGGAATCCCCCCCTCCCTCCAATCTACTCTGTTACACATTTTTTTTAGAAGTCTGAGCGTATGACCATGTTCTGTAGTAGAGAGAATGGTGGTGCAGGAGAAATGTAAATTGTACCCGAGGAACTGAGTTCAGTATCCAGACTGGCTGTTTTCATTATTAACTGTCCTCCCACTTCCCCATTGAGTGGGGAGAACTCTCAAATAGTATGGTGGTTTGTTTTACTTTGGGGTTATTCCTTGACCTTCATCATTGTTTAATAGATAATCTTATTATTGTAACCAAAACATTTATTTAAGAAACCCCCAAAATCCAATTATCTAAACTATGCATACATAAAATATATCAATACTTTATTCTTTACAATAGAAAAACATGGCAGAATCAACTCAAAAATTAAGTGCTGTGAAAAAGTCACTTTCAGATAGGTTTTCACCATTTTTTTTCAGTTAATGACTGAATTAATGGAACTTGAGTTAAATTGTATATACCATAATTCAATGTATTCATAAACAGATTATAGAATTTACTCAAGCCACTTAAATAACTATGAAATCAGAGGTTCCCCAAAAAAGAACTGAAAAGCTGGAAAAAAAAAATCCCCACTGCCATTGAAAACCAAGCTCGATTGTACAGTTCTTTTGGACAATAGGTGAGCCTCAACCTTTTGTTCTTTTTCTTGTATGTGATCATAGAGGCAGAAATGTCTGTTTGCGACTGGGTGAGTGAGACATCTCTGAAAGAACGGCCGTGGGCAGCGCTGTCTACGTATTTAAAGTCCTGCTTCATAATTGCGGGTCCCGGCTGCCAGGATGCTCTCGCACACCTGAGCAGACCTGGGCGTGGAGCTGCCTGATTTCTCTTTTGTGTTATGTCTTGATAATCAAAATGCATTATTATTTCTTTCTCCAAATACAATGGGAATCCCTTCTTCCCCGCCCCCAAGTTCTGAAAATTCTCAAACTGGCCCTGGAGAAATACAAATGCAGAAGGCGACAGGCGAAGCAGGCCCTGTGTTCAGCACTCAATCATTTCCTGTCACAGGTGCAGCCACTATGTATTATCCTGCCATGATTGATAGAGTGGGTTTGTGCAGACTGGGGGAGCTGGGAGGCTCAGATGGGGTCCTGTCATTTGGGCTCCATTTCATACTACCTGTAGGGAAAAGGACATTCTTTGCCAGGATTGGCTGTTTAGTGAGTTTTACATTTTAGTTCATATATAATGGAAAGGTCATATTTTCTACAAGTGAGATGTAGCTTTAAGCTTTATCTTAGCATAAACAAAACAAAACTGTTAATCCTACACAACAGATTTTATTCCATTGGAAGGTGGCATATTCAAGAAACACAGCCACAACTATTTGACTTCCTATAATTATCTTAAGGATAAAAAGTTATTTCTCAACTCTTAGTCTTTAAATAGAAAAATCCCCAGACATGTTTGGTTTATACCCTCCATGGTTTAAGTATTCAAGAACCTAATATTGAACTTGATGTCTCTATAGTAAGGTTAAACAATGTACTTGTATCATTTTTGAAGGCCTTGATCAGACAGTGGGTTATGTTACTATAGGCCATTCAATAATACATACACAAAGAGTGTGTCAGATACAAGGGGATTTTTATCATTAGAGACTGTGGCTGTACTTTGTCTTAACTGGGACCAGAGTTTTGAGTTTTGCTATGATCAGTCAAGATCTTAACTAATTAATGTAAGATCAAAGTTGACAACCATCTCACCAGTGTTATATAAAACTGAAATCCTCTAGGTCCTTCATTTCTTTTTGAAATGGCTAAAGGCAAAATGATTTGCATAAGGAGGTCTCAGATTTTAAAATGTAAAACTTCTTTCACTGGGATTATTAAGTGGCTTTCAGTGCTGTCCACAGATGTTCATGTACCCACTGCAATGCTTTAATATTTTTCCTTGTGATTTTCACATACAGCGTGATAGAGTGATTAAAATGATAGAACTGGAGTGGAGAGTAAAATGGCTTTAAAGGATTCATTTTTGACCCTAGAATATTCTTTTAGGCATCTGAATTTTATCACTGTAACTAACAATAGTGTTTTCCCTCAAAATTTGCCAACTACTATTTGTTTCCAAACATCAATTTGTTTTTTGTATTTTTCACAAACTAGCAAATTATATTTTTTAAAAAGGATTACACATTTTAGCTGATAAATACCTTCCTATGAAATAGGGTTTACACCTACAAAGCATTTTGTTTTTCTGTTTCCCTTTTTATAGAGGCAACATGGCATAATACAACAGTTTAAAAATCGGGTGGCCCAAATAATAAAATATTGGTGGTAATTATTTACATAAGAAAACATATTTGTGAAAATATATTAATAAAATGTCATTTGTATCTCTGTCTATTGGAATGAAAAGAGCACAAAAATCATAAGTGTTTTTTCTGGTAAGCTTTCAATGACTAAAACATTGATGGAAAGTACATTTATTACTGTATTTATGAACATAGCATATGTAAATACAAACAATGTCAACTGCTGGTTTTAAAATTTTTGTGCATTAGTTTCACAATTAAAATTGTGCTAAAATACTACCACCTGGTCTTGGCTTTAAGTTATTATCTGGAGGGTCTTTAACATTATAGCTCTCAGAACTTTCTAAGAGTCTAAAAAATAAAGAAGTAACTTTAAGAAGCACACCACTTTATTGTGATAGCATTAGTCTGTTCTAGATCCATAGTGAACTGTTTGTTTTTGTTCTATACTAACCACCATGTAAAGCCAGTGCTTATAATGGTCATCATGCAGAATGTACTTTAGCAAGCTATTTATTATTTTAAGGTGAAAGATATCCTCTTCCTGACATTACAATATTACTAAATTAAGTTCTTATTTACAAAGAAGTGGCTTTTATGTATATGTTGAGAAACTGCCATTTTCTTGAACTGCAGTGAGTTTCAGTTCTGCCTTTAATAACATGTATGACTTACAAAATAATTATAAGGTGGTGATGATTAAATAGGCAGTACCTTTCTCTGTTAAAGCATAAAGGAGACTCCCCCTGAAGATGGGTATTCAGTGCCTGTGCTCTTCACTTTGGAGCATCTTTTAAACATTGATGTGGATCCCAAATGGACCAAGATGCCAAAATGAGTACCACAGTGAGCAAGTTTTGTGTGTGTGTGTGTGTGTGTGTGCACGTGTTTATACAAAGTGTTGCTCTCAAAAGCAGACCCACCAAAATTGCCAGTATGGCCTGTGGATGAGTCAGCTAAGGAGCCAGAAGGTGGAGAGAGGGACATTTAGGCAGTCTGTGTAACTGCCTGCCTGTGGAAGGAAGAGAGTTAAGAGCATGTATGAACTCCATTCTTTCTCTCAACACATGCATACTCCCATCCACCCACCCATACACACACACACAGGCATTCTTTGATGGAGATCGAAGGAGCAAGAACAAAATAGGAAAAATGTGGAAAATCAGAGATTACATGTTATTTTTGCTTAGCATCCTGTGGGTCTATTTTGTGCCTCTGCTTCTTGAGGCTGTGGAACCCAGTCATCGCCTTTTAGTCCAATGCTAGAACATCTCTAACATACACTTTGGAGTTAAGCAAGCTTGCTGAGGAAGCCAAACAACAACCAGGTGGAAATTGGGAAACCAGAATTCTCTTTCGTACATTCCGTGTCTACCAGTGTAACTCAGTACAGCTATTTTCTGCATAATGTCTGACGTTTTTGATTCTGCATGGTTTATAAAGCTACTCTTTCCTTCTATGAGGGGCTGTGCACACAGCTTGCTGATGTAACTTTTTGAAAGAGATTAGCATAGTGATTTATTAGTAATAGAATGAA